ACATGATGTGCCTCAGAGCCTGAGGCCATTTTGTTTTACATGGGGAGCTATAGAAACATTGGAGGTTACTGTGGCTATTGGTACTCAGGATTTCCTGGAAGAAGTCCTAGATACGTGACCTAAGATATGAGTGATTAGTCATGAAGGATTCAGTCTTAAACTTAGGCTCAAGGTTTATCAAGGGCCTCATTGAGTACCACTAGATTCCAGCCTGAAAATCAGGATTAAAATAGAAAAGGATAATTATCAGTTTCCACGACACATACACTTTTCCTCATTCCCATTTGGCTACATCATCAATGCCACAATGATCTCCACTGTAGGGTGAATTTAGACAAAATCACCATTCACCCTGTTTGCCCCATCATGCTTTGTCTTTTCCTATGAGCAACCCACACTCCTGTGTTGCTTCTTTAACTCCCTTTATGTCTCCTGACTGTTTCCCAGGTTGTGCCAATCTTTCCCTGACTCTGAAAACATAGGGAAGCTGTGCTTCATTTTCTCATCAGATTACACTGTGATGTGGCTTTGGATTCCCTGATGAAGAATGAATTTCTCCTCTAAGTACATAACTCTCAGACCCCTCAGTGTTCTTTTTCCTGTGATACCTCATAATTCTGATTTACCCTCAATATTTCTCAAGTGGAAGGGTGTTGGGTTAATATCAGGTTTTATTAGACAGACTTTATAAACCTACTGACCTATAAATTTATGGAGGTTTTCACAAATGGACTTGTGTAGGAACTTTTTCTATGATACAAAAATTTACAAGGGTTGGTCAATATTGGTTGTAGAACCACCAATATCACAGGAATTTATATCTATAGCAATACTATTTTATATAAACACTTATATGAAAAAATGTAAAACTAGAAGAAGATAACTTACATACATCACAGTCAAAATAATATTGTTTAAGTAGACATTCAAGGGCAAATTAGAGAAAAGAGAAGCAAGTCAAAATATAAAACACTCATTCCTTGACAGTATTATATTCTCACAAGGAAAACAGACATCTGAAGCCAAGGCCAATAGAGTGGAGTGAGGCAGAAAACAACAGGAGACTCTTAGAAAATCAGCAACCTGAAAATAAGTAAAACTGTAAAAGGAACACAGGCAGAGTTGCTAACACTTGTGATCACCTCTTAGATTTCAGTTTTA